TTCATCTTCGTGATGTCAAGGCTCTTTTAACCATTGAAGTGATCGCATGTTGTCGCCGTGTATAGACGGATTCGTAAGTTCGAGCTAAGCTTAAATGGGTTATTTGGTGCTTTTAAAGGTGCAACTTGATGCCAGGACCGTATCGGCGAGTTGGGCTTTCGGGTCGACTACATTTCCCGACAAGCCGACACTTTTGCAGGAGCCTCGGAACCGACGGTGTTCTTGATGGCGCCTCGAGCAAACGGGCGAATCCCCACATTCTCATGCTCCAGGAAGCCATTTGTGATCTACTAATTCTCAGCTTCCCTTCTATCGATGTCCCTCCTCAGCTGGTGTTCCTTCCTTTCGAGACCTCGTGCTTGAAGCACTTCACAGTTCAACTGGATCCTTCCGAAAAGCTCCATTAGCTGCCGAAATGGCCAGTGCCCAGTTGACTCCTGAGGCAATGTCCTCCACAACGGACCATCCACATGTGATCGCATGTACACAAGAATGCATTATCGAAATAGAAGTCGCAAGATCTTGCCATATGCGTACAATTCGAGTTATCGAGGCCACAGTAAAATAAATTGTTTCTAAAATAGAAAGAGACTTGTCAAGACATTATTCAACAGTGAATAAACAGTGTATTCACTCGATTTTGTTAAAACCAATGAAGGAGTTATAGGCAGATTTTCCCACTATCTGATAAGTAGGCATACTTTTGTTTATATTTCGTTATGAGGTGTGTTTCGAGACCGCCAGTAAATCAGATACAAGAGCTATGATTTCTTCCAATTACGTTTTCCCACAATCAGATGAGTAAAGCTGGCTGACATTTTTATTGAATTACACATAATCTTGCCTTCCTAAAATGTGTTTTCGTCAAGGCAACCTCGAATAGGTCTTATCAACACACCCGGCGGTGGTCAAATCATGTCAGTGCAGCATGTAAGCTTGACTTCGCATACCTCCATTACGTTCTTCTTAGAAACCCTTCTGATGCCTGTCCTTCGAAGCGACACTCGAGAGCTGAGCGATTTAAGAGTTTCACTAACATTTCCTCTCTCCCATTTTTACTGTCTTGCAACCCAGAGACTAAACCTTTTGATAGAACCTCCTCGGTGGTTGCGTCCAATGTCGTTTTGAACAGGTTTACCTAATGTGCTACTTAACACTCATCGTTAACGTATTTGATGTTGCCATCGAGGAAGTTCTCTCAAAGGATTTGTACTTTTTGATCAGTTAGTTTTTTTACCAGAAAAAAAGAAGATTGCATACAAAACTGTGTCAACATGAAGCTTTGAGTAGAGCTGAACGATGGCAAGACGAATGTATCGTCATCACAAGCTTTACATGAGATTGATACTAGATTTTATTGTGGAATAATCTTTGTTTCTAAGGTCAATCACAAGGCCTTGAATAGGAACTGTATTTGCTAAATTTTCGCTCTGTCACTTAAGCGCACTCGTGGAAGTTTGAGGCTGCGCAACCAAAGCTCGGGTTCAAGTGCCGCTGGGGTGTTGATGAGACGTGGACGAGGTCAAGACTGCAGTCAATCCTGGCTGAGAACACCTTTTGGGAAGGCAAGGATATGTGAGATTTAATGTAAAATATCAGCTCCACTCATATGGTTGCGGGAAATTTCAACTACTCGACCTTTATCACCTCAAACTAAACAGGCTCAACATAACATATTGCCTCGCTCCAGGCTGCACTTAAGTCACAGAGCTGAAATATGGTATTATTCGAATTAATTATTGTTTTCGTGACTATCAGTAAATCAGTAGTATAAGATGTATTCACCCAATTTCGTTTGACGTGATGAAGGACTGGTAGAAGAAAAATTTTCCCACAATCATGAGTTGAGCTGACGTTTCCATTCAATTTCACATATTTTTGGAATTAACTATTCTTTTCGCGACTACCTAGTAGTCTCGAGACAATACTTAACATTCTATATCTCTCTAGCTTTTAAATTTTCGTTTGTTTATTTGAGTCTATATACGAATTAAGATAGAGCCTGATAGTCATCCTGCCCAGATGTTGACGAGAGACATTTAGAGGGAGAAGAGTCAGCTCTGATGATGTCCATCGAATGATGAATGAAAGCATAAACCATTTTTACGCGAAACGACCGAGTGCCCTTAAGCGACAGAGCTAAGATATAGTAAATACAGTTCCTATTCAAGGTCTACTGGTAATCTTGTAATTGACTTTAGAAACAAAGATTATTCCACAATAAGAACTAATGTCAATCTCATTTAAAGCTTGTGATGATGATACATTCGTCTTGGCATCGTTCGGCTTTATTCAAAGCTTCATGATGACGCAGTTCTGTACGCAATCTTCGTTTTTTCTGGTAAAAAAACTAACTGATCAAAAAGTCCAAATCCTTTGAGAGAACTTCCTCGATGGCAACATCAAATACGTTAACGATGAGTGTTAAGTAGCACATTAGGTAAACCTGTTCAAAACAGCATCGGACGTAACCACCGAGAAGGTTCTATCAAAATGTTTAGTCTCTGGCTTGCAAGACAGTAAAAATGGGAGAGAGGAAATGTTAATGAAACTATTAAATCGCTCAGCTCTCGAGTGTCGCTTCGAATGACAGGCATCAGAAGGGTTTCTAAGAAGAACTTAATGCATTTTGGCAAGCATGCCCAAGTTGAGTTTCAGAAGAGAGGTGGGAAAGATTCTCGAATTGGCCTGAGCTGGGCTGATGGGCTGGCGGATAGACAAATTGTCGGGCCATCTTTAAATAGGCGCTCAAATTGGTTTTTTGCAAAAGGACGCCGAAACGGCAGACAAGATATGCGTCTGGTATCTTGCAATCTTGCTAATGCGTCTCCCTTAGCCAAACCCGGCGTTAAGCCTTGATGTTTTAAGACAAATGCACTGCCCCCTGACAACCACTCAAAACTAAATGTCGGCTTACATACCCTCACGACCATGCATGCATGCACAGAGATCGACAAGGACTTGAACCAACCAAGTCGATGTTATATGAGATGTATTCACCCTATTTCTTCAAGATGATGACGGATTGGTAGTTGAAGCTTCCCACAATCGTATGTTTAGACCTTAAGTTTTCATTATATTTCGCATAGTCTTGCTTCCAAAAAGGTATACTCTGCAGTTTCTACAGCACCTCCAGCGGGACTGAAACCTGCCCACAATCTCGACAGCTTATCCATTAAGCCAGATTGACACGAGTCCCTTTGAGGCATAGGACAGATGTGAAATTCAAGGAAGACCCGACATCTCTCCATAACCCATTTTGTGGTGGGATTGTCTTTACAGCAAAGTTAAGTCACATATTTTGTGTGCTGACTCAGCCTCCTCTTTATTCTCAAGTATACACCTCAAAATCAAATATTTATGACTTAGTTTCTTAACACCAATCCCCACACTAAAAGTATTAAGATTAATTATTACATTAAAATGTATATCTAAGATATATTTATATATATATCGAAAAATCACTATTACATTTCATAAATAAATTTCCAATGTGTGTATTTGACAGATTAGTATGGATCGGCTAGTTTATGTGATCGTAGGCTTGAAGATGTTCTGACAATGAACTTTATTTGTCGTAAGCTGCATTTTGTATGAAGCGGAGGGTGGGAGGCATCCGTAAATTGGCCTCCTTAAAGACCGAAGATGATCTCGGTTCACTGAAATGCAATCTCAAACATGTCATGTTAATGTTTCGTCTGTCATGTGAAGTATGATCTCACCAGAAGAGGATGGCGCATTCTGGCAGGATCGACCTTTGCATCTCTTCACCCGGCCTTTTCATTCTAAATGCAAGCGAGTTCAGTGCTGATGATAAAGAAGCTTTGTCTAAATCCAACTTTTCTTCACATGTGGATGATATCCACAGACCGGGAAGCCTTCATCTACAAAAAATTCAACATAGACTTTCATGGCTTAGTTGTGCATTTTGCGTAAATGAACATTTGTGGCTCTGATGACGTCTACTACTTGACAAACAAAAGTTCAGCATGGATTTTTCTAGGTTGCAGGACGGTGAACCGAGGTTTGTTTCGCACATTCTGTGAAACAGACGGTCAAGACAGCCCACATTCTATGTTTGGTACGACCAATTAACAAACCCGCCGGTTCATACAAAATGAATGTTACAACAGCTAAAGTTCCGTTTCAGAAGATTTTTGAGCCCACAGTTAAATGAAACTAGCCGAACCATACCAATCTGTTAAACACATACAGCAAGATTGCATACAACAAAATGCATATCTGGTCTATTGTTGAGGAACCTTATTCCAGGAAACTAATTGGAGCATCTATTTGAAGATGGTCCAGCAATTTATATATCCTTGACCTCATCTAATTTTGACAAAGATGTTAACATCTTTACTTAAGCACAACATAACATCATCAAACTAGCATGTTTTATGCCCATCTATCGCAATACCACTTTCCGCCCCTGAATTCAGCTGCGACAGACCAGTGGTCTCAAACGCATCTGTTATCTAATTATGGTACTTATATTGCTTAATATATAATATATAATATATATAATATTTTATAATATTATATAATATTATATATATATATATATATATATTGCAATATAAGGGAAGCTATTTTATCATAATTTACTATGACTGCGACTATGCCGAGGGCCACACCATCCTGGTCATCATATCTTAGATATAACATTTTAATTTAATAATTAATCTTAATACTTTTAGTGTATGGATGGGTGTTAGGAAACTAAGTCATAAATATTTGATCTTGAGAGGTATACTAAAGGATAAAGAGGAGGCTGAGTTAGCACACAAAATATGTGACTTTACTAGTTTCTTTAGAGAAGATATAAAGTAGAACCATATTTTCTCCACATCTCGTATTACACAATCCTATCAATGCGCTTTGTTCCAATTCATACCGCCCATTAAGTCTTGATAATGTACTTGTTCTGTTTACTTTGAAATTATCATCTGGCTTTAGCGCCTTTACGCTCATGCAAACAACGACCCTCGATTTCAAGGTTCAATCATTTTTGGCGGTTGTGATGAGATCCAAGCGACGGTGAAATTGCAATCTTGTCCAACCGGATTGAGAATACCTTCTGAAAGGTAAAACACAATCAAATTCAATGCCACTTTGGGACATGTTTATGGCGTAGCGGAGGTCATTATTTTATGCGACTTGGGATGACCATGGCTCTCGTCTGTACATGGACATGAAAAGGAATTAGCTTCATCGGAGGCTAATGTACCATTTCGACGATCTGACGCTATAAATTATCATAAACACTATTGCGGATAATTTCGATTAAGATGTATTTCTCTAAATGGCATTGACCCCAGGGCTAAGTTGCAGGAAAGGGGTTAGACCAAGATTTTTGACCATCATCGAAGTCCAAGATGTTGTGGCCTCTATTTTGGTCGCAGTCTCCTTTCGATGTTGTTTGAACTTATTTTCGCAAATTGGTCATATTGGCAGGAAGACCAAGAGGAAGACACCTTTTTCAGAGTCCATGGTGTGCATAACAATTCACAGAACCAAACCGTATACTTGATACATTCCCTTGACTACTATACATCATGGTTGTAGTTGCAGAGTGGAGTTGCGCATGACAACGAATTCAAGCAAACGAGTCAAGAAAACTGGTACAGTCTTCATATCCAACTGAGCGTTTTGGCATTAGATCTGTCTATCTGGTGTCCTGTGTTGACTTTGTGTTCGCCAAGGTGTGAATTGCGGACCAAAACACCTTTGCAGACTGTTTTATGTTCAGATCACCTCTAATGTACGAGTCGACAGGTCTCGCACCACGTAGACGCTACCACATGAACACGAAGTCTTGTAACAGCCCTATTTGGAAAGTGAATCCGCAATTTCCCTAAAGGATGGCTTCACTGAGGAAATTGTTATTTCCTATTTTAGAATTGTCTTGAAATCCCACTTTCTCAGTAGTTCACCTGTCTTTTTCGAAAGCTGGCACGACAGTCACATCAGGACCATAGTCGAGTGGTTCAGCTGCCTATCTTGCCCCAAATAGATGTTTTCCTTCATCCCATTCGCTAGACTTTTAAAGCAATTCTCGATTTATCCAAATTTACATTTTTCTCCATATCCTCAGTTCCTGCACCCGATGGTTAACATCTGCAAAACGCAGGCTCCTTATAATCATGGATTTCACAACTCCCACTTTAGCCACATAAGTATGGGTTGAAAAGAAAGCTAAAAGGAACTCCACATTTTTGAGTGTCCTGTACACATTCCTATCCAGTTTGCTTCCTTCTCTGCTAATTAGGACATGTGGAAAAGGTAAACTATAATACTTTTCTAGTTCCATGGCGAACTTGATACTTTCGTCCATTCTATGCATCAACTTTAGCGATTCTCCTCAGCTTTCTTTGCCATAATGTCATACGGCAAAGTGGTCCTCCATGAAGCTGCCTGTAATTTAGGAATTAAAAGTGCCTCTTGCATTAGGCGACTTTCTACTTGAGCCA